AGAGTATCACGAATGGCGAGGGGAGCGCCAAACTGGCCCCGTTTGTTCTTTCTTAGCATCTTTTTCTTGCAAGTGGGATTCGTGTGGGAATACAGACTTCTTGAACAGATGCATAAATGGAGATTCTCCTATTGTGTCTCTCTCTCTCTCTTCCTGTGTGTGCATGTTTCATTCTCCTTTTCGTGTGAATGATATGCTTAGTTTTGCCTGTATTTGTGGAGCCTTTCCTCTCTCCAGGTTTCCAGGTTTTTGGGTTCTATCTGTTTGGACCTGGGAGTTGCTTGACATCCTCTTGGACCCAATCGCCATGTGTTTTCAATTCGTCTATTATTGGACTTTCTGATTGTCTATACTGTAATTGTTGTTCGGTCCAGTGTGTACACATTAGATCTATTGCATGTTTTTGAATTTCTTTCACAAATTTGTGACTTATGATATACTGGGCTATATAAATAAAATGGACTTGATTTGACTTGAAATACACTCTCCACTCCTTTTGGCCAAGATGAAATCATTTAGTACGATTAAGATCTCTTTTTTTAAACAAAAAAACAACAAGAGCTAAATTACAAGTGTGTAGAATATTTATCATTTATCATATTCGTATTTGACATGTTATCAATATTCTATAAGCTGAATAGAGAGAATGACGCACACTTAAGTAGTTTTGACATGTCACAGTAGAAAAACGTCCTTGTGTTAATAACAAAATGAACAATGCTTGAATTCCATTTAGCTGCTTCAGTTTCGGGGTCCTGGTATTGATCTTGTTGGCTCACTGTCACACTGTCAAAGCTAACTGCAACACTTGGGATAAAACAGTGCCATCATTAATGTTAGCACTGAAGCTCGGATAAAGACCCACTGAGGGAGAGCGACTTCATTCTCTGCTCAGGTAGACACTCTGCAATATGTTTATATGGCAATAGTTGTTTGCTGGTCTTTCATACATCTCCTTTTAAGCAAACAAGCAAACATGGAAAATCTGTGTATGTCAGTGTGGAGATAGAAGGAATCCGTGGTTGGACACATTGTCTTTTTTTGTTTATTATTGTAACACAATTCAACATGACACTGCATTTTACCTTGAAGCCATACCAAATAAGTTGATCCTGATGTTAGTTTAATGGGCATGATACTGTTCCTATCTCTATTGATCGTCCCCACAGTTGTTCTGTAGTCTTCTGTCCTAAAGACGTCGGCTGACGGGGGTGTGAGCTCGGCCTTTAAAATCGACTGCGAGTCTTCTCAGTCATGTGCGATATCAAGGGATTTGAGATAGTGCTGCAGGGGGATGTTTGCGCCCAGTACCACGCTTGTCTCTGTTGAATAAGTCATGCTGACTTCTTCCACTTATGTCATCATGATTAGGAAAGGCAACATGAAATGTATACTTCAAGTAATTGTAGTGGCAGTAGACAAAAATATAAATGGGACTGTCATAAAATTTGATTTTTTTAACATCATGCAACAAGGACAATTTCAAAACTCTTTCAAAATATTAAAAGGAAATCATGATGAAGATGTGCACAAACAATGAAAAAAGGAAACATAACTACATTACATATGAATGAATAATCCATGCAGCTCTCTGGTTTGTATGCTTAATTTCTACACGTTGACTCTAGGGGGAAGCATTGCACTGCAAGTGGACTGACTTTTGCAGTAAAACTCTTGACAATTCAACTGGCTTCCTGTCTTTGCCTGAACTCAGAGATTCCACCTGAGTGAAGATTACTTTAACAAATATGCTAAACTTTCAGATGACTCCTAAATCTTTTATGTTCGCTGCAACAAGGAATTAACGGTAATTTACTTCCAAATTTTGCAAAAGAAACTTTGTGACCTATTAACATACACAAGGCAATATCTTGTTTATGATGACTTAACTGACATTTTAACTATGAATATTATAGATGTATGATACATGGTTGCATTCAACAAATGCTTTCCAGAGTGTGAAATCAATATTTCTATCCTACATTTAGGTTAAATCAATATTTCTATCCAACATTTAGGTCGAATCAATATTTCTGAAACTACAATGCAGAGCCATGTCAAAATACAGTTTTTTAAAGTACAATAGGTGTAAAAGAGGGCGCAGCACACTGATTTGGAAACAAATTAATTAGCATAATGGAGAAACATGCAGTAAGTCTTTCGAGTGCTGAGTGTATCAGCTGTCAGAGATCAGGCGAAGGCATCACATGCATCAATAACAAGACATAAGATGGCAGCTTGCTTATCTGCTTAGCTCAGATCTATGTCAACGACTTGAATACAATGCACTCAGTATGGTGTGTGACACAGGCTGGATATTGTATGGTGCCCGGGCATGAAGAAAGGGAAGGCTGCGGCCCTTTGTGAAGTGGGTCAAGTCCATGCTAAGAAACCTGCTAACGGCCTGCAGTCGCACAATCCCATGATCCTTTGTCTGGCACTAAATAACAAGACGTTGTGAGGTCAGATTGGATGTCATGTGTAGTGTTGGTTTGAATTAGCCTCAAACGCAACCAGAAACCCCAATGAAAACATTTCAGTCAAGCGGTAAGCAAACCCCATGGGAGCCTCACATCCTGCAAAACCCAAAAGTAGAACAAACGTGAATCTTGAATGTTGAGCAGAGAATCCATAAGTGGACGCATTCCCAGGACTGACAGGATCAGTTATCAGTGGTGCGACCTGAAAATTATTTTACATACATCATGTAAAAGTTTGCCATTCATGTAGAGATCCAAGTATTTTGGAAATAAGCATATATTTGTACCTCTCAATGCTTCCTCTGTCAAGATTCTGGTATTGTAGCTCTTTTAAATGAGCCTTTGGGCGTGAATTTAAATGCTGACATCATATCACTTTTTGCGAGAAAAATCTTCAAGTCAACATACTATAGTCACCTTCACACACTTCTAAATAAATTGAATTACAGGAGGAATAAAGGTTTAACGAGGGCTCTTCATGAGGTGTAAAAGTTGTGGAGGTGTAACTTTTCATTGCATGTTCATTTTATTGTTATGTTGTTTATGGATGAGATCACATGCAAAAGCTCTTAAAATAGCCAAACTCATTAAAACGCTGAAAACATTGTCCTCTGGTGCTCACAAGGACAACATGAGAACATGAGTGATACACGAGGGTGTCAGGTTGCAAGTAGACAACCTCCATATGGGAAAGTGAGTGTGTGTGCTGCAGTGTGCATATTTTTAAGAGCCTGAATTCTACCCGTGGGTGTGTCTGAATCTGTGATGTCATGGCTTCGATCCGGGTGATCCCTTCCCGGCCAATCAGTGCGAAGCACGAGTTTTCTGGTGGAGGTAGTCAGTGGATGATTAAAGGACGGGGGAGGTTAAGCTCTAAACCAGGCTGTAAAACATTGACCTGAGGGATTAAGTCAGTGGTGTAGTATGTGGTATTGCAGAACCTGTCTGCAGGGCCCCGAGTGTGAAACCTGTTGCCAGACGTGACCCAGCTAAGACATGAGAGGAACTGTTATAGATAGAGGATGGTATGTCACCGTCTTGACGCCAGTCAGGTTGGACATCGCATCCAAATCATAATTAAATTTCCTCAATAAGGATTGTAAGAAATGAACAGAACTCTCTGGGTGTATGTAAGCAAAGATGGATCACCAGAACACCAATAAGATCATAAAATACTTTTAAATGTAATTCATACTTTTACTGGATGCAGGAACATTTATATTTATTATCTTATCATAATTGTAGAGCATACATTTCCTTTTAATCTGTATACAGTCAATGTGGTTTACTGGTATGTGGTTTTCAACAACCTTACTTGCAGCACATAGTCCTAAATTATAAGCACCCAGTGGCTTCTTCTTGGACACAGCACTGAGACAAACCGATTCAGAAAAAATGTACAAGCTAAAGTTCAGTGCTTGTTTGATGCTTGTTAACGCATGACTGATCTTTAGTGTATAGTTTCTCTTTATTTTCATATTCATCAAATATTTGCATCCGTCAAGGTGGCTTTTATGTTAAGTTGCAAAATCTTTGTTTCAATTGCTCTCATTTCCAAATCAAATTGTTTCCCATTTCCTTTTGAAAGGTTATTGTTCCTCAAAAGTACCTAAAACCGTCACATTTTCTCTATGAGCCCACTGAATACCTTTGACACAGTGTGACTCATACAAATGATTCTTTCCTTCCTATATTTAAAACCATTTTGGGAATGTATCTACCACACAAATGTCTATGATAAGACCAGTGGGAGGTCTTTTCCTTTGTCAAGAAATAAAGAAAATTAATGAAAGTTCAAAACATGGCATTTATAATCATGACTCACAAATTCAAGTTCTTTTTAGCTCCACCAGTGGCTCGAGGGAAATATCTGTCATGTCTGTTGGTTGAGCAGTTCAGCACTTTGTTCCAGACTGAAATATCTTAACAACTGTTGTCATGACATTTTCTACAGACATGCATGGTCCCCAGATGAATCCCAAAGACTTTCCCCCTGACATTAGAGGTTTAGAGTGAAATGTATTTGATCTATGGCATAAAATATGTCCTCTTCAATAATCAGGTCAAAACGGTTGCACCCCCAGTTCCCCTTAGCCTCAGCTGTACTTTCTGTTTAGTGCTCATTAGTAAACAGGCATGGTAAATCTGAAAAATCCATCAGAAATAAATCCAGCATTGAAAATTGTTTTAGAGGACATTGGGTATGATTTTTAGGCTCTTGTGCAGTGCTCTGTACCCTAAAACTGGTTGTCGGCCTATTACATGAAAAGTGTCACTGCAAAAGACCTGGAATCACCTCAACAAACCGCAGCACTCTTACTATTTCAGTAGAAATCCTCCTTCATCTGTATCTCAAAGCCCTCCTTTAACTGTGCAGATATCTCATAATATGTTAGCAAACAAGTCTGAATATGCCTCTCTGCTGTCAGTGTTTTTATCTTCTCTGGGTTGAACTTCCCAACTAGTCACATTCCAGTGTGGGAAGAACACAGGTACGAGGCTGGTGAGGAGAAAGGTAAAGTCAGAAGGGATGAAAAAGAGACGGGTGTGAGCGAAGGAGAGGGAAGAAAAAACAGGGTAAAAAAACAAAAACACACCAATGAGGAGACCATGGGGCTTCAACACTACTGGCTGCTGCTGCTGTTGGTCGACTGCCATGACCAGATTACAGGTAGTGTATGTGTGCATGTGTGTGTGTGTGTTTCTTTGTCTGAACGAGAGGTATTTCCTCAACTGCACCCTAAATAATGTGAGGTTGTTTGAGGTTGTACAGCCGTGTGTGTAATGTGCGAGAGTCAGTCTGTGTGAATGTGCATGTGGATTTGCTTGTATGTTGGCTGCTGTGGCGGACTGGCCTCCTCTGGGTCCATACATGTGTCAACTTGTCTTCTCAGGAATGCTGCAAACAGGAGGCTTAGTACAAAACCTGCCAGTGATGTAGACATAATAGTTGTATTAGTCAGTTGTGTCATACACACAATTATTAAGGGTGTTGGTTAATGTTATTCACTCAGGAGGGGCAACGGTGATGAACACCTTGTGCAGGAGAGCACGAGCCTCTTCCAAAGATTTGCCCGGTTAGTCAGCACTTTCAGTCAACAGTAGATTGACAGATGACAGATCAGTCACACAGTGTAAGGGCAGTCCAGAATTGGTCTGACGGTGGCAATGGGGAAAATTCACAAACGATTTTTTTGGTCTATTAATTATTATTTATTATTTGGTTAAAGATTTGTATCACAATGTATTCTAAAGAGGTGGCAGTCAGAGCTAAATGTTACAGTTTCGGACACAAATGAAAAAGGCTAGAGAAGAGTTGATAAGAGAGAAGAGGGGCTGTGATCCGCCAACAAAGACTCCCCAGAAAAAGAAGCTATGACAGCTATGTCAGTACTTTTAATTGATTTATAACAGCCTCGATATTAGTGTCAATGTTGTCGGTAGCAGCCTCTCACCAACGGTTTGACAACAGCGTTGGTCCACCCCATGGCGCAGATTGGGTAATTATTGTCCCCCTGTGGCACTTATTGGTTTCATAACTTTCTAATTGAGAAACCGCTGTTTCATGTCACAATGCCAGATGAATTAGTCGACACGAACTCTGTGGAGTTAGCGGATTTGAAGGTCTGGACCCAGGCAAATCCATTTTACAATATCCTGCAAATATATTCCGTGCCAAAAAACATTTTCCAAATAATAACATTTAGTGCTAATAGTTTGGACTGTTTGGATCAAAGCGCAAGAAATCAATAAGGTAGTTTTGTCTCAGACAAATAATCAGTATTGGATATGTTGTTTCTATTTTTACTCTTAGTACACCTTTTTAAATGAAATGAGTGAAAGAATAAATAAATAAGTAACCAACAGCAAAATATAGTAAATAGCTTGACAAGATATCTTGATGTTTTATTTTTGTCCTCAATCTTTCCCAAACCTTTGGTTTTAGTTGTCCAACAACTAACAAACCTGACTCATGCTGTGCTGAATTTTCCCAAGCATCTTCAGATGAGGATTATTCATGTTTCAGTTTAATGTAAAACATTAGACATTAACATGTGAAAATCTAAGTATAACAATGTGTCACATGCATAAAGGCTAATGTTATGATGAGAGGCGTTGCAGCGATTGGTTCAGTGAAGACGATAAACATACAAGGAGAAAGTGGGCATCCTTGTCTGGTTACCCTGTGAGGTGTGAAGCTCTGTCAAGTTACTGGAAGGTCTTCCTTTCCACCAGGTGCTGTGAGTGACATCAGTCCATATATAAAGCATTATGAGGGCTTGTCGTATGACAGGGAAGATCTTCACAGGAAGCACCTGAGAGCCAGGAGAGCCTCACACCCTCATGAGTACACACTGCAGCTGGACTTGACTGCTTTCCACAGGTAACTTCATAGGTGTGGCAATTGTTTTAAAAGACCCAGTCTGGCTTAATGTACATCCTTCTCCTGTTTGAACCCTTTATTCCTGTTCCATCTACATACCTCCCACTAGTTGACAGAGCTTTGAGCTGTTTTTGTTTTTGTTTCCTGCAGAACTTTCCGTCTGCATTTGAAACGCGATGCAGCAGCATTTTACGAAGATTTCACAGTGATCAGTGAAAATGGTTCCACGCCGGCTGACCTCTCCCACATATATACAGGAACACTAACAGGTGGGTATGACTGAGATGTCTGGCCCACCAGGGCTGGTAACAGTTTACCTGCGAGTCAAGTATAAGCGAATTTACTGGGATCAAAGTTTTTAATCACCGAACATCAACAGTCATTTATCTTTATGGTTTTGATTAAACATCTGTATAAAATGTAACTGTGCTTTATCTTAAAAAGTAAATTCTTTGCTTTCTCAATCTTGCCTTTAATCCTGCCTTTACTCTTAAAATGTCTCTCAGTCTCTTATCTATTTAATCTTTCTGTCTGACCTTTTGGCTCAGTTATCTCTTTCACCTCTCTGACCCTGACCTGTCATCTCTCTTGACCTGGTCTTGCAGGTGAACACGGTTCCTGCCATGGCTCAGTGTTGCAGGGTCAGTTTGAGGGAACCATCCATACAGACAACGGGACCTATCACGTAGAGCCAGTAGATAGATACACCAGCAGCCCAACAGATCACCACTCTATAATCTACCACGAGGATGACATGGGTAAGACTACCTCCTGTTTTCCACTTCAGGAATAAAGTTTTCAGAACATGTTGTCTCTACATTGATTTTCAAGCGTCTGTTGGCTCTGTAGTTACATCTATCTACCCCCAGTGTCCAGGATGAAAAATTGAACTTTGAAGCTTGTGCATCTGTAGACTTAAACTGTCCAAATGAAACGCCCTGCCATTAGCTGCTTTTTCTGGTAATTTTGTGATGATGGCAAGAGCACAATAAGAAATTCCTTTTTGTAATAGATCTCCTCCAAAAGTTTGATTCATGGCCCTCTTGGCAGTCTCATACAAAGACAAACAACAGCATCTAAATGCATATCATTCCTTCCTGTTATCCTCATTGCTCTGTTCCCACACAGAATGTGTTCATTATCTGCAGCGTCAAGCTCTATACAAACTAAGGTTACCAGTGGTCAATGAATTATCTTTACCTTTAATAAGGGGGAGTTATAATGTACCAGCAGAATCTATTTAGAGCTCTGTGGGGGTGGTGGCACCCTGGCTGGGCACAGATAAACCTAAGATGGTGTGACTCTTGAAGAAGGGGGAGGAGAGATGTGGGCTGAAGTAAGGAGGAAGTTATAATGGTGAAAGAAGAGGGGGAAGGGGTACAGTAAAATGCCAGGAGAAGAAAAGTTTCTAAATTGAAAGGAGAGAAGAAAAGAGGAGCATGTAGAGGAACTTACAGGGTTTGAAAAAGTTGGAAACAAATTCTTAGTTGGCTTAACATTAGTCAGTTTATGGTTTGGCCAGATGGCAATCATCAGTAAGAGCTGTCAAAATGTTCTTTGTGTATGTGCGTATGTGTTTCTATTTGCATGTGTTTCTCTGCCTGCACAGGAATACACATCGGAATAACATTATTTCGAAGAAAGCATTTTCCTGGAAATGTGCAGATGGTGCCAAACCCCCCCCCCCCTGTGTTTGTCCTTAAATCTACTCACACTCTATGGCCACCTTCCTCCCTTTGCTTCCCGCCATATTTTCAACCCTTTTCAAGACTATAGCAACACTTGAATGAGATAACATCGTTACAGCTGACAACATCCTGTTCTTTCATTCACAGGTCTGCATACCTGCAGGAAACTGTGAATGATTTAGCACATGATATTTCAATAAACAAACAATGCTTCCCTGCAAGTGGTAAATTAGGACACGCAGGCTGACTTAATGTGTCTACTCCTGTGTGTATTTCCACTCCCTGGTTGTCATCTGGGGGAAACAAAGGTTGTTTAACGACCGTTCTTTCCCCTGCGCTGTAGGATGCCGTGAGGTCTTTCAGATCTGAGAAGGCCCATGGGGGCCATTTTGCAACAAAAACAGTGCAATGACACTTTTGAAAAATTAAAGGTATCGTTTTACATATTTGAATTGAATACTAAACAGTACATATTAAAAAAGAAACCGTCACAATGTATTTTTTGAAGGGAGCATGAGTAGGACAACAAATATCCTTTGATGGAGTCTAGACACTGGAGGTGGTGGGCGAAGGGATAAAGGGAAATGCCTGGTAATCTGGATGGATCTGATAGAGCTGTGATCAGGCCTAAGCCTGACGTGTGTGTGTGTGTGTGTGTGTGTGTGTGTGTGTGTGTGTGTTGCACCCTGGTTTATGGGACTTTCCGTTTGCAGTTCATTATGAAAGATGGGTAACTATTAACCTCATACTTTATTGAGGTAAATCAATAGTAGCACACATACTTAATTCCAGGGCTATTCATTGTTGTTTCAAACCGAAAGTGATTTTACAGTCAGGAAGTAATTTGTGTGAAGTTGTGTGTGATCTCTTTGCATTTTCCTTTGCTGGAACTTTCAATTCGATTCAACACTTAAAAACCTGTGAAGTATTCAGTTAAACTATCATGTAGCTGATTCTGCAACCATTTATTTTTTATGGTATACATTGCTAAAGTATATCATGGAGGATTTGAGAAATATCTTCATGGAAAACTGGTTGCACTTTCTGTTTTGCTGCAATGGCTTAAGGTTATCGGTGTTTTGTATTAGTGCTAAAGACACAGCAGTTACAGTTGCAGTGATTGGTCCCTAACAGATAGCCATACAGTATCATACCAGTGGAAGACAGCTTCAGCTCTATAGACCTTTCATCACTTGCGTAAATGGGAAGGATGCGGATTGATACGAGTTATCTGGACTACATGAGGCATACAATCTGGACTAAGCGGAAAATGTGCCACCAAGTGTGTGAATTAATTATTTGTCAGAACATGATTCACACTTAGGTTTTTGTGGTAAATAGATTAGAGGTTTAATACAAGCGATGGATATACTGTATATTCCTGACTCTCTCATAGGCGGGGGGGGGGGGGGGGGGGAGAGCTTAGTGTTGTGTTATATTTAGGAATAAGATTATTTTGCACTTGAGCTAACCAATGGGGCACTTGAGGGCACTTGGCCTGACCAAAGGGTCATTCGTGGGGCACTTGGGCAGTGACTTTAGAGCAGAAAATGCAACAGTCCCACTGCAGTACAGACTTATCCTGGTTTAAGAAGAGACATTTCAATACTCAATGCCTTTTGTATGCCAGTGTTGTGTTTACCCCGATAAAGTAAACTTCCTGATGCAAGAATACAAGGAAATGTTTTGTTGGTGTGTTGCTTAAACATACTTTCACTGTTGTCAAGCTGAAATGAGATTCAAGAGGCTGTGGCTTAAATTATTATTATTTTTTTACATTACCCTTAACAGTAGAACTAGTTTCCAACAGCTGCTGGGAAGTCTGGACTGAAATGTGACACTATTTTTTCAATTCGGAAATTGTTTTTTTCTAGGCAAGTCTTGCACTGATACGGCAGTTTGTAATTGTAATGGAGCTTCATTCATTACAATTTAATCAACAAAAGCAAATTTGGCAAAAACAGACCAGAAACATGTATCTCCTGTAATGTGATGGAGAAGAAACAGATGCAGAAACAAACTGGGAAAGAGTTCAACAAGTAGAAAGGTCTGGAAGTAATTCTGTGGGGTCGACGCCCGGCATTTAGGCCTCCACATCCACCTCCACCCCCACGGCTCACCCCCACTCATGCATGCCATATATATATCTGGTTTGGGATTGGCTAGAGGACTTTCGTAGAGTGGTGTGATCCAATCACGTGCCTATCCCTCATTGTCTGATGTAGGGATCTCGGGAGATTGTACTGCTGAATGAATGTTTCACGCGCACCTACATGCACATCCATACACGCAAAGACACTTTGCATTACTCCTTGAAGTTCTTACGGTCACCAGTTACCTGGCAAAACATTGCCTGATTCTGTCATTCTCATATTACTGCAAACGACATGTGAAAGTGATTATCATGTCATGTGACTCCACTGTAAGTTGTGGAATTCAAAACCCCTTTTTGTACATAGGATTGTAGCTGGAATAGTTTGTTCTCTCAACATTGGAATCAGGCTATAACCACAGGGTTTGTGCTACATCCCACTCAATTATTTTACATTATTCTGTAACATTTTGCAGCAGTCTACTTTACTTTACATTTTCATATGCAGAATCCCCACAGTACCAGATTGTAAACCTAATACACTGGTATTACTGTTACACTGTTGCAGTGTCCTTTTGGCTCCTTGCATTTAGAGGAATTCTGTGTGTTTGCCACTGTAACAAGAAGAGCCAATTTATGCATTTGTAATGCCTCCCTTGACTGCAATCCCATTTTATTGCATCAATCAAACGAAGCAGCCGTCCCAGAGGTGTTGCAAATCGCAGACGACGATGTTGTTTTGGTGGTGGTCACTTCACAGCGTTTTCCACAGGCCGCCCAATGGCTCCCACTCCAGACCACAATGCTGATTTCCAAATGTGGTGTCCTCTGCTCACTAAGGAACCAATTTCAATTGATTTCTGCACTTTTTGTTTGAACTGAAAATACTGTAAATTGTTTAGTATGGGAAATAACATGAACTTTTGTATTTTAAATCCGTAAAGTATAAAGTAAGTATTGTGATCTAGTGCACCTGTTGAGTAAACAAGAGAAGCACGTGATCTAGCATTTTTACTTTGTATCAAATGCAGAGACTTACTCTGTTACAAGACCTTGAAATCCGAGGAAAGATATCAGGAAACATCACAATAACTTTTAATTAAAATCTCTTCCTTGATTTGACGCTGTCTCCTATCTGATAATGACTCTATCTGATAAATATTCCCCACATTTTATCAAAGCACATGGGCGCTTCTTGGGCCCCAAAAGAGATAATATCTGAAATACCTGGGATGTTTCAATCAGCATTCCCACCCTGATCATTGCTCCTGGTGAAGCACACACACACACACACACACAACGCAACAGGTTGTACCATTTCAGCACAAACAACACATCTTTTTCAGACTGTGGCCCTGGTCTACATCACTGGTTTGTTTATTTGCGAGCTAATCTTACACAATGTCCTGTTTGCTCCAACAAATAAACAGTAGTGGGTTGAACCAAACCCGGTGTTTGATCTCTGTTCAATTATTTATTATGATTGGCGAACACTGTATTATTTGGGACACTACACCCACGTTCAAGTGAATCACTGACTTTTTGCAAAAACGTTCATTAGCTGACGGAACATTTTCAAGGACAAGATTGCACATGACAGTGTTTGCACATTTGTGTTTTTCACCCTGCATCTTTGTGTGTATTTGACTGAAGGAGGGTGTGACGGCCCTCTGGCCCGTTTGGTTGTACCTTGTTTGTGCTTCCTTTGCAGGTTCATCTATTTTGTAGGCAGGTCTGTCAACTTTGGTCCCTATCCCTATTTAGTCCACAGAGGACTATGGTGGCTGCCATAGTACACTACGGCTCCTTTTTTTGGGGGGGGGTTATAATTTTTCTCATCAACACCCATATTTTTTCCACCACACATTCACTCACTTACACAACTGAATTTACTGCCATCCCCATCTCATCTCTTTTTGCGATTTAATTCATGTTTCAGTAAATAAATCAGTTAATTTAAGTGCATTTTTGGTGTCTCTCCCTTTGTTTGCTACGGCGCTTCTTACCGGTCGTGACAAGAGACAGACGACAAAGAAGATGAGACAAAAAACTAGACCGAAAAACTGTTACATGTACCTCGACATATGCACATCTACGTATATCTTCAACAAGTGTCTCTGCTTGTTTTCATCTAGTCCTACCATCCATGAGAACGGGCCCTGATGGATTCTGTGGTGCAGAACATCTGAGCCTCCTCGCCCAAAGCCTCGGACCAGATGAGGTAGGGCAGTCCAGACATCACCTCAGTGACTGCTCACACAAAAACACTTACGCACACTTTGCCTTGCTTTCTTTTTCTGTCCTCACCCTCGAAGCTTCCTCCTCTGCAAATCCATTTATAGACAATTAATTCACCATTGGGTCTGATTCATCTGTAAATATAACTGACCTTTTTCATGAGGGCATTCATTCTTTTGGGTACTTCTATTTAGCCTGTTGAGTCACCAAGAGCAAATTACAGGATTTAATTCCAGCAGGATGATATGACAGTCGCAGAAATGATGTGTAAGATACAGAAAGCTTAAAGATGAGCCGCCACATTTACAGTAAAAGTTATATAAAGACGGTGATTGACTGTGATTATAAAACCAGGTATGATGTAATAAACATCTGCCAAATCTATTTAGCTAATCTCCCCTTTGGGTATTTATGTTAACCTTTGACCAACTAGGTGGTGGTCCAAATGTTCATTGTAAACAATGGATTTCAGGACATTGGTATGGATCCATTTTTAGCAGCGTGCCTGTTTGAGTCTTGGAATGGTCTGAACAGATGTTGTTCCAAGTGGAGCGTCCATGTTGTGTTCTTGTCTCTACATGTCCCACTGGGACATCGTGTGTTGATGTTTTAATATACACATACTCAGGGCTTTATGACTTTACACCTGCAAAATAAGGATGAATATTCACTAAATCTAAGTACATGCGGGTGATTTAGCATGATTCAAATCTGCCTTCTACACTGTGACCCCTTTCAAGTCTGTTCAGGTGTGATTCCTCCTTCCTGCCTCTGCCATGTCACCCACAGGAGGCACCAGCGAGCCGGTGGAGGAGAACAGTGGATGAGTCAAAGACCAGCTGCCTGCTCCACCTCCATGCTGACCACCTCTACTACAAGAAGTTCAAGTCCGTTGAAGCGGTCGTGGCTCAGGTGACCGGTCCAAATCTGTTCTCATCATTTATTTTGGTTTGACTTTGACAAGACGTGGTGGTTTATATGTGGTACACACTTGGACAACAACTGTTCTTGATCTGCCGGTAGTCGAAGGAGTTAAAAACAAAATGGCAATAACTTATAGCCATATTTCTCTCTACACAATGAAGATGCTCACCCCCCTCATAGTGATGCCCTTAGATGCTGCTGATACCTGAGCTGCCCGATGTTTGGGCACACAGAGAACACAATGTACTGCGGAGCATTATAGTGTAATGGAACATGCAGCAGGAGCATCAAAATATAACAGGACATAACATCCTGACTTTACAAGCCTGTCCCTGAATACAATGTCCTGGAATTTGGGAACATGGTGCTGCAATCAAAGTTCACCTGATGTAATTGTCAGTCTCACAAACTTACCTTGATGGAACAAGTGAAGCTATATGCAGGAGGTGTCATTTTTACTTTGTCTTGTTTCAAAATAGTGAACAAAAGGGGAATACTGAATTTAAATTAGTTTAATGCTAAATTTCCCTTCATTAAGCTAAACTGACCTAATATGAGCAGGCTGTGCTAATCAGTTAGAGTCTGTTAACAGATGTCGTTGTGAAATATTGAAAGATCTCTGATTAAAGGAGCTGTTTGCTGGGACAAGGCAAAGATTTTGATCTTGATTAAAACTTTTTTTTCCGGCAGTTTTCCTCTGATGACCAACATTTAACGACTAAGAGGAAATTAGAGGAAAACTTATTTTTTTGAAGTAGTAGATTATTTACAATTGAGATATTCAACAATACTAAATAAAGGACCAAACTGTTGCCAGGCAGAATAAAGCATCACATGCCAGTGCCTGCACATGGGCAAGCAGCTGTCACATCGCAGCAGTAAGGAGCCTCCTCGCTCTCTCAGGACATGGTGGCACATGGATTGCAGATATTTTGCCAAATAAGGTTCAGGTATAAAGGCCTGGCACGGGGCCGCCAGTCCACAAGGTGAAGAAGCAGGACCGGTCACCTCCTCTTCTTCCCTTCAGCTGAACCCAGCAGCCCCTGTATGTACCTTCAGCATAGAGTAACAACGTGCCACAAGGACAAGCTGCAGATATAGTTAAAAGTGCACCATTGCAACGATGCAATCTGTTGCATTTAATTCCCTCTGTGAACTCTGAGGTGGTCATTACATTTAAAAGGTCAAATATTTTTACCCCCCATCTCCTGCGCTCTCGACCTTTGACCTTATTAGAGCAACAAAACGTCTGCAGCGAGCCTCAGAGCTTCCCTGAGGAGGGGTCGGTGGGTGAAAAAGCATTAGTTTGATCTTCAGAATAATGTTCTTTTTTTCAGCTCAAGCTGCACACAAACCAGAATTTACAGATGCAAAGTTGATGAGGAAGATGCATTTTAGTTTTTTTAGCTTTGATTTTTGTGTTGGCTGACCCACGGTGAACTCAGATTTGAGTCACATACTGGGTTAAAAGCTGCCTGCCTGCTGGCGCGCCTGCGTTGCCTCAGTGCCATGACAAAGATAACAGTCTTTCTGTGTTGAAGTTTCTCTGTCTGAACAAAGCGCTTGTCGTTGGGGTCAGAGGTCACATGAGATGCTACCCTGATATTGAGTTCAGCCACATACTGATATGAGCATCCAGTGACATAGCTTCAACATGAATACTTTTGTAGTTCTCCCTAAATTAAAACCAATAAACAGTATTTATTATTGCATTCCCTATTTGCTGCAAAGTAAAAACATCACAGATGTTTATTAATTTAATTTGATTATTTTAGATTAATTCTCAGAATCTGATACAGGTTGAGTTTCGAACAAGTTTTACATTTGTAATGTTTTTAATTACATCTCTGTGGTCAAAACAAGGCCAGTTATTGAGTAACTACGTCTGTCATTAGCTGCGGCCACACTATTCTCTCTCTGGTGTTCCTCCTGCTGTTTGTCCTCTCATCACTTCCTTTAGAGTCTTTCCACCTTAAACACACACACACACACACACACACACACACACACACACACACTTGCTGTTGTCTCTGGTTCAGTGCCAGACCTTTGTTACACCGGTTGAGAAAATACACTGTAAGTGATGCCGCAGTGTGATCTTTGAGTGTAAATAGACAAAATGCTGTTGTCACAATCTCTGCTGATCTGGTTTGAGTGTCACTTAATGCGTTTGAGGTGTCAGTATTTACATTTTCGGATAATCCCCGCAGATTCTACTGTATGTTCATGTCCTGCTGTATGGACTCAGACCTTCACATGTGACTGGTTTGCACATGTTCTTAGTGGATGTGTAAAAGGTTGTGCCACCCACGCTTGCAAATACTTTGTGGATCGCCTCACTTGACTTTATGGATTACCTCGCGTGGTCTGTTAATGAATCATGATCAAAACTTGGTCGAGGATGTATGGGTTTAAACCACCGGACAGGTGGGGCAGTTGAGAGAGAGTCAAAACGATAGAATGCTAAATCTACTTAAAATACTATTTTGGGATTATCAAAACCTTCTGTCAGTCATTTTACTTCCTTCTGATGCTACGGTGGCCCTGAGAACTCACTGCGAAAAAGAAGGGAAACGAAGATGACATCTTCACCAATTTCACAACAAAGTGGTGAATGTGTTGGTCAGTTTGCTGTCAGTTTTTTTTACAGGCTGCATATGTGATGTCACATTGAAGAAAATATTATGTTCTTCATTTGCTTGTGTGTTGTCCAGCTGTATGTGTTTTTCAAGATGTAAACTTCAGCCACCCAGCAACTATACTCTGTACGAAGCAGGAGATGTCATTGATGGTTTTCTCCCATAAACGTAGGTTGCCTCCTACATACAAGCTGTGAATGACATCTATGCCAAGATGGACTTCGTTGGAATCAAGCTGGTCAACTTTAAAGTTAAATCCCTCCACGTAAGATCCCTCTGCACTCAAGCAATGACTCGATTGTGCCACATCTTAGGGCTGTCACGATAACAGATTATACACGATTATTGCAGCCAAAAGAATTCACAATACCAATATTATGACAAAAATATTTATAAGAAATAAATAAATAATAATAATGTTATCTTGCAAAAACATCTTTAACTTTTTATTGTTTGTTTTTTCTCTTTTTTGGCAAATGAATTACACTGTGTACAAGTGAGAGAGAGTCTTTATCCATATTATTTACACAATATTATCATATGTGTATTATTAACATGATATCAACATTTCATTTTTCGGGTGACACACCTCAGATGCAGTTCTCTGATAACTCCCTTCATCAAATTTTTATTACACAAACCCTTGAGAGAAATGCATCAGATGGTGCATATGTGTGCCAGTGGTAGTGAAACTAGTACGGACTGTCAGCCTCAAGATTATTCAAAATGACTGACGTACAATGCTAACTTTCTTAGAGCTGGGCAGGAGGTATGTAAAGTGAGCTCCTTGTCTCATCTCTCTCCAGGTGATGACAGAGGAAGATAAAAGCGATCCTCTGAACCCTTTGTACATCGGGTCTGAGAAATTGTTGAGTCTGTACTCCGAGAACAACTGGGGGAACTTCTGCCTGTCCTATCTGCTCACTAACAGAGACTACAGCGGAACGCTGGGGGTTGCCTGGGAGGGCAAAGCTGGTGAGTCAGACTCACTGTGACACGAATGCACGGAAATCAGAAACACATGCACTCACACATACTGTATATAGACAGTGATTTGCATATTTGTCTGAGAGCAATGAGTTCCTAAAATCCTTAAGGTGCCCTGAATTGTTCTGGCCTCCCCACATTAAAAACGACATGTTGCTGAGGTATTATGATTACTGCCATTACCTTGTTTTGCTTAAAGGACGATGCCATAAAACAGCAGGCTGATTAATAAGAACAGTAGTCAAACTGTAATTATATTACTCAGATATATTGACGTTCAATGCAATTGTCAAGATGTCTTTTGTCCCTTTATGTATCATTTAAAATGAACTCACACTGTGCAGACAAACATTGGTGCACAAGGAATTAAGAATATTTTCATTAGATGGAATAATATATATAGCCTTGAAATTTTAAAACATCATATAGCTTATGATACAGAGTAAATATTGTATGCTCAGACATTATGGAATTAGATCATTTCAACAACATTAAAGCTACTAAAGAGCTTTAATGTTGTTGAAACAACCTAACCCTGGGAACAACATGGGGGAATGTGTGTTAGTGCGTTAAATTACCTTAATCTAAAACCTTCACCTAAACTTAGCTTGAACTTTGTCAAAATGACTTTATTACTTCATCTTTAACAAAACTATTTTAACCATAACCCCCCCCCAAAATATGTAGGAGTTAGTGGATATTAGAATACATTGAACAGATTATTACACATGCAATATTTACAGCCCTCTAACAGAAAGGACAAACTTGAAAGTTTGTGTTGAGAACACATGGCGGGCTGAGCAGGAAGGTAACAGATATGAGTCTGTCCACGATAAAAAATAGAGACATCGAAGGTGAAATAATGTTTTGCTGTTCTGGCGCTCTGTTTAAATCTCTGCATGAAACTCTATTGCTCTGTCAAAGTGCAGCGTCTTCTCTGGCAAACAGGACTCTCAGGCCTTCATTTGACACAAGTTCGCTAGAGGTGGCATTCAACACTCCTAGACACACTCACAGTTTGCATAAAGCAGGTGTAAACACTCACACTACCTGTCTAGTCCATTAGTGGGGTCAGTTAAAGAGTTGCAGTAAAAATGCATGTAAGCCTCCCTTGGTTTTCCTGGATCAAATGATGTTGTGGCACACAGAGTTGCAGGATTAACAGCTCCTATTAGGCTGCTGTTAGGCTGAAAATCATTTGGAAATGCCATTTAGGGACTACATTGTGGACATATCTTATTACTGTCTTTTAATTGTGTTATATACGGAAAAGATCTAAATGACATATCACATTTACAAAAAAATTGACAAATAAGCAAAAAATACAGAAACAAATACACCACACTCTTTCGTTGAGAATTAAGCAATAACACAATATGTTTTAGCTACATTGCCCAACAAGCCAACATGTGCAAGTGTACAGTGATGGTGCAAAGCTGGTCCTAAAAATATAGACTTGTACTGTCAGAGAAACTCACAAAGCAATGTTACTGAACTTGATAATAACTCTAATATCTGACATTTTATCAAAGAGCAATGTCCATAATTTGCTTTAAGATTTGAAATACAAACAAAATTCACAAACTTTCTCAGTCACCTTATATATTTAGGACATTATAGTTCCATGACCTAAATAGACAAATTAACTACAACTTAACTAATAAGCCACGTCTATCAGCTCTGGTGACAGACTCTCTGTGTGTCGGAGGAATTTGGACACGTGTGTTGGAATTATTGTGGTAGGAGGTTCTTCCGTCATGTTTCTATAATGTTCACTCAGACGCTGCTTATGATTGGCTAAGCTGAGGGGCGTGAGAGCAGACCACCACAATGACATGAACCTTTGACACGCACACACACACACACACACACACACACACACACACACACATACACACACACACCACTCCCAGATGTCTTAGTCAGGATTTCTGACTACATTCCCCAGCTTGATCGCCATGGTGACATCTCACGTGAAGCACACACACATTCATAGTGGCAGTGACATTGCTGTGACCTACTTTTACATTAACACAGTCTAGATGTCCAACAAGGGGATACAAATCATCCCAAACATCTCAAAAGCAAGGCAAGGCACTCCAGATACCCAAATGTATGTCACAAGCACTGGAAAAAAAGTTGTTTTTATTGATATGTCCCCTTTAAGCAAAAAGCGACAGATGTTCAGAAAGTTTAGGCAATCTATCTTATAAACGTATGTTGCAGTGGTACTTCCTGGTCCAACAGTGATGATGTCCCACTGTTGAGGCATATATATTACCATTAAGTTGGAGAATTATTTGCTGTCTTTCCAATACATTTTCTTGTTGAGCATGAGTCAAATTTTATCACAACTAATATCGAAGAGAGCGAATACAACAAAATAAGTCTCAAGTTTAAATAAGTTGAACAAGACGCATTAGTGAGTAAATCCTATTAAAATTTGTATAAACCCGATTGAAATGTGTAATGTGAAGGTCAATGAACTCTGGAGACAAAGAGACCAGTGATGGAAAGTCATCGGCTTCAGTTATAGCCTACTATAGAGAGCAAATCCACTGTACTTTTCTAAGAACTTTGATCGGTGTTATTAGCGGTCAACTCGCTCTCTGTGTCTGTTTTTGTTGTTAAAGGTGTTATTAGTACACTCGGAATCCCCCCGCTTCTTTATACAAATAAAGACTGCCCCTTACTATTGTTTGTCAGCTCATATTAAACTGTGTGAAAGAGTGTGTGTGTGCGCTTTTATGTGTGTGTATGATGTTATGTGATACCAAATATTCCTAGAAGTGGGAGTTACTGTGTGTATGTTTCTGCGTAATTGTGACTTGTTTCCTCCTGACGGTGAGTGTGTGTATTATGTGCAAGTGATCCGGAGGGTCGCTTGTTTCTCCGGACTGTGTTTTTCCAGCCAGCTAATAATAGGAGTCTTTCATTGCAACTCCTTTCTGTGACAAAGACAGGAGGGAGGAGGGGACAAAATCGCTCTCTCCTCGCGCTGCCAAAAACCACAACGCAGTCCGTCCAAAGTAAGCTCTTTCTAGGAAACCCGGCTCCTTGAATAGCCCACCAGGGAGGCCATTTTAGGTCAAAAGCTGGGAATGCGAGAGTTGCATCCAGAATTTTTGATTTGTATGGCTGGATTAAATATTTGTTGATATGAAACTGATGTCTTTATACTTTTAGCAGAGAGGAGTACAGTTACCGATGACTGACAATTCCTCTAAGCTGAAAAACAAATCAATGTGCTGTCTAATTTCTGGTAAAAGTCGTCATGTCATATCAAACACCAAGGGATGAAATAAAGTATAATACTGTATTATCTCTGGCAGCGTCCTTCACCCGACATATGACAGTGGCGTAACTGTGTCCCTCCTACAGTACCCTCATTGTTTCTACAAAAACACAGATAAGGTGCACTGTTTTGATTTGTCAACTTCTAACGGTCCTTCACCGTCCCTGGACGTCACACTAACGCCCACTGTGTAACAAAAACACAGATGCCCGCACCTGGTTCCCACATTTCTCAACAACTACTGAACTCAGATTTCTCTGAAACTGGCGCTGACTATCTTTAACAGACGCACATCTCACGAGCCTTACCCCTCAAAATGGTAGTGCTGACCACATTGTGTAAGAGGTGTTACATAAAAGGCACGTGACTGCATGAGGGCCGCTGAGACCTCCAACCTGAACCTCAGGTGTGCGTGAATGGAGGGAAACCAATAAAGAAGAGAGAGGATGGACACATGGAAATAACTCCCACTGCAGCGGATTGAAAGACTTGGTGGTGACAATAAGTGCAGACAAAATGATGATGTAAGAGCTTGAATAAAGATGGCTGTCTATGCTGTTAGGTAATAATTGGCCCATATGTGCTGTATAATAAGACTGCATTCAAGTGTAAGATGCCACAAATGGTCTTGTTGAAGTACCTGAAGTCAAGTCTAACCGCTTTACTCAGATCCATGAGCTGCCTCTCTGAGGAACCCTATCACAGACGCTCGGTTCGACCACTGGGATTCGTTTCTGTTAAAGCATGCTGGCCAGCTGGAAGATGATGTCACAACCCAGCCACCCATCCATGTGAATGTGGCCAGCTGTTTGTAATTGTGGGAACCCAAAGGCAGATTGAGACCATTGTAGGCCGAATGGCTCTGCAGGCTTTGATGTGAAACTAAAGAAGCTCAGCAGGTCCGTTGGTCTCTCTGTCCATACCTCCCAGACTGGGGCCCTCAAAGGTCGACGCTTCAGTGGCTGAACATTGTTGGTTTAAAGTATTTCCAGTAGCAAAAGGGCAATTCTGCAACCATACTGTACTGCAAAGTGACAAGGGGGATTGTTTACATTAGGTCTGACAAACTCTGCTTTTTTATATTATATAATATTTACTTTGATTGTCATTTAACCTATACAACCTCAGTGGAAACCAAACTCCAGGTTTATCCTCTCATCTGTGTGCACTTCAGGTAACTTGGGAGGAATATGTTCGAAGCAGACCCTGCATAAGGGCCGGATCTCCACCCTGAACACAGGTCTGGTCACAATACAGAACTACGGACAGTTCCTGCCTCCTCGACAAGTCCAGCTGACCTTTGCTCATGAGCTCGGCCACAGCCTGGGATCCCCGGTTAGTCGCAATCACTGAGTTTACAAAGTACTTAAAACATCTGTCTGATACTGAATGAAGAGGGGGTCTTCCAAAAGTGTCTCAATCAAACCAATCACTCATGGTTACAATGAATAGTACACAATTTATCCCATTACATTCCCCTGATAATGTGAATTTCTTTTTGTGCCCTACATTTATATAATTTGCATGTAATATTTAAAACTAAGATTCCTTAGCAGATGCAGAAAAAAAAAAACTCCAACAAAAACAACAAATTCAACAAATTCAACTTCAGATTTAAAGTTAAGAGTAGACAGTTGCAGATAGCTGTCCGTTGTCACTGAAATTGCACAATGTAGAGTCTGTTTTGAGGGTGGATTTTCCCTTTAAATTATTGTTCATTAATAGTGGTTTACAGGCATATTACATGATGTTTTAGGGGTAGTCCTTCAATCAGAGGATCAAAGGTTCAATCGCCAGCTCCGCTAGTTCATGTGTCCTTGGGCAAGACCCTTAACCCTAAATTACTCAGGCTGTGCCTGCTGTGAATGAATGACTATGAATGGTGAGTTTGAGTCCTGATGGGTAGGTGGCCCCTTGCATGGTAGCCCCTGCCATCAGTGTATGAATGGGTGTGAATGGATGAATGATGACATGTAGCGTTGAAGTGATTTGGGTAGTTGGAAGATACAAGTACGATACAAGTACAAGTCCATTTACCATCCATTTACCAATGGCTTTAAAGGCTTTTTTCACAGCAGACATTCTTACGTTCCATTGGGGGATATTCACAGGATATTCACAGGTCTAGTATCATTTTGCATTGCAAAGTGTTCAGGATGCTGGTATTGGTATTGTGAAAGCTTGTTTAATCAATGGAGCCATCGACAATGTTATTATTTACACCTGTGTTTGTATTTCAGATGTTTGCTGAACTTTACCAGTTTTACTCTGAACCCATTTTCTAGTCTAACATGAGCCCGCGTGGGTTGTGTACTGAATGATAATTCAACATGACGAATCCCTGTTATTCAAAATGTAGACATAGCTCACGTATTCTCACAAGGCATACATGGTTGTTTGCACTGCACCGCAACAAATTTGCCTGTGAATGATTCACTTATGTGGGCATTAGAGACCTTGGCCTGTAGTGACTGGTTTGTTTCATAGATACTCTTGGCTCAGCCTCGCTGGATAATCGGAAATAAGAGAACAGGAAGATCCCTGATTTCTCTCGCCAACGTTATTTTAATTTTTAACCTCTACTCCCACCAAAACAACACACAGGCTGATGTAAACACACAAATGCAGGCAGCTGTGTCCTTGTCTTTTGGCCGCTAACACCTGCAACCTTTCTCCCAATGCCCAAAATGCCAGCAGCGTTTTTCACCCTGCCCTTTGTTATTCACACTTGGACAGACCAAAGAGTCCTCTGGGGCCGTTCCTGACCAGATTAGTTCTGCTATGTCAGAACCTGGAGGCTTTTTATAAGTTAAACTACTGTAAATGATGGTTTCCTGGCTCCTGTGACAGGCATGTCTCATTGTTTCCAGGCTGCAAAAAACACACAAAGAGATGTCAGCACGGGCTTCACCTGAGATTTGTAGCAAACACGGTGGAGGAAAGAGGGGGGGGGCTTTTTACCCAGTTACCCTTGGTAAAGAGCTGCTTTGGCCTTTGGCCTACTTCCCTTGCAACCACACATTCATACAGTGGCTTTTAGAACTGTGGGCTGTTGATCAATTTGCTGCTCAGGTAAAAGATAAATTGAAATACAGTAAATAGAAATATCTATCTAATCCTGCTCCTTCCTTACATTTTATTCACTATTAGTTGCTACATTTTGTATACATATAACTTTAAATTAGGGCAGCAACTAACAATTATTTTTTAATCGATTAAGAATTATTTTGATTGTTATTCATCATTTTGGCTGTAAAATGTTAAAAAATAGTTTGAATCTTTGTTATAATTTTTCAAACCCCAATGTGACATCATCAAATGTCCGACCAACAGTCCAAAACCCCAAGACTGTCAGTTTACCTTTTACATGGCGAAAAAAGCCGCAAATTCTTACATTAGAGTCGCTGGAACCAGATGATCTGAAACTATTAATCTATTATCAAAATGGTTGCCGATTACATTTTTGTCAATTGACTGATCAATTAATCGACTGATTGTTTCATCTCTACTTGAAATAATTAGATCATGTTTGAAATTATAAATTGTTAACGAGATAAATGCTTGACACAAAATACAGAACAGTGATTACAAGCCACAGCATTAGATTTAGAAAAGACTTGACTTCTTGATGGGTTGTTTGTCCTAAAATTGCATCTGTTGTAACAACATCTGTAAAAACCACTACAGGTGTTCAAGAAGTTAACAGGAAGGTCAGGAAATCTGAAAATTGACACAGTACAGTACCATACTTCCCTGTTCCTCCTTTTCTTACTGCTTCCCACTGTTTCCGTTGTTGTGACCGCAGCAGTAAATGTTAATCCCAATGTGAAACCAAAAGACACCAACAAATAACACAAACAAAAATAAATCTACTATTCTTTTGAAACCACACCAACATCTGCTGTGAAAGACAGTTTTGTTAACCACAGAGCAGCAGATACTGACAGATACAGTGAAGACTATATCATTTCGTCCTCTAAACTAATCAAGAACAGATGCAGAAATACTTTAAAACATGAACACAAAGATGATCAAAACATGTTCCATGTTAATTTCGAGGCTCACCCGACCCTTGTTCTCTTAATTCACCGGTGAGTTTGACGTCCAGAAAACACCAGCGCTACAAAACGCTTCACAAATACGTCTCTGACACTACAGGAGGAGCTCTCTGTCTGTTCTCGCTGTGACATGACATTCCTCATCTGTTTCATGGTCATCAGATATCAGGGAAATCTTTTGACTGCAAAAAGTATTTTGTTATTTGGAAGTATTTTGTTATTTGGAAATATAACAAAGATATTAAAGTTACAGAAAAGTGTCTTCATGCCCTTCCAGAAAGGGCCTGTCAAATAAATGTCCATGAAAACATTTTCACTGTCTGCGATGATGACCTTTAACAAATGGTTCCAGCTTGATCATCGGTTTCCCTTTGCTGTTTCTACCTACGGCTGAGCACTTTTAATGGAAATGTCCAAAAAACAGCTTATTCCATTTGCTGAGTGTGTAGATACATAATAAGTCCAGAAAAACACAGGAATTAAAAGTCAATTTCTGATGTTTTGTGCGTGTTCCAGCACGATAAGGGCTCAAACTGTGGGAACCTCGGCTCCAGCGGTGGCAAAGGCAGGTATCTGATGTTCCCTGAAGCCACAGACAAGGTGCATGAAAACAACGATAAGTTCTCGCCCTGCAGCATCCAACACATCAGCAAGATCCTGAAGCTGAAGAAGGATGACTGCTTCGTGGGTGAGGAAGAAAAGATCAGACAGTGTCCACATGCATGTTGCCTGCTAAGTTGGGGGCCAGATGTGTGTATTAGTCACTGTAAATAATTATACATTCTGTGTGTGTTTACTTGCCTGTGTTTATCTGCATGCCTGCTCTTTCTGGCCAGTCAGTGATCAGCCCATCTGTGGAAACCAGATTGTCGAGGAAGACGAGGAGTGTGACATTGGTCACAACGACACCGACCTCTGCTGCTTCAGCGCTAAGCAGCCTGTAGGAGTCCAGTGTCACCTCAAGCCTGGTAAAGCCTGCAGGTACACAGACCAGTAGAGTCTGCATGAAAGCATCGAGCATTGAAATTTACACGTCTAATGACATGAAATGCTGCATCTGCGTGCAAACTTGTTGTAACATGTCCAACATGTATTGTTTTTAATTAGTTTTTCTCTTTCATCATTTTTAATTGAAGCAGCACACCACATTCATCTAAACTATTTTGTTGATGTTCTGTCTTCTCGGCGCATCGTTTGTTTTGTTTGTATGTGGCTTTCATGTTTATCCGTCACCCTGGCTCTTTGTGTACGATGCTTTCACTCAGTCCGAGTCGGGGCCTGTGCTGCGGTCAGGACTGTGGGTTTAAGCCTGCGGGTCAGACCTGCGATGAGGAGACAGACTGTCAGAGAGAGGCTGTGTGTTCAGGCTTCTCCCCACATTGCCCCGAGCCAAGCGCCAAGGAAAACCTCACAGTCTGCAGTCAGGGCACACGTCTCTGTCTGAACGGGGTGAGGCAGCCACAGCACCGGGCAGTAGTGAAACACTACAATTTAGTCTAATAAAGTTACTTTTGAATGATATTCTTTAAAACCTTAAAGTGACTATAACATTAATTGGAATACCTACAAGCATTTCATTAGCTTATTGTAGTTGGAAATAAGTTCTAGATATTAATAGATTATTGTTATTAAGAAACAAATTCAGTGCCATGTGAAGTGTTTATATATCAGCTGCATGACAAAGAAACATAACATTTTCTGGTTTCAATCAATGTTTCTTCAAATAAGTGTGCTTACGTGCTCTATTTGTAAACAATCGCAGCATTACAACACAGTGCTACTTAGAAAAGATCTGATCTAATTCATTTTTCCTCCAGACAATAGCGTGTGACTCCATAATTGTTTTTTCTTGACCAGATTTCCTCCTTTGTTAAACGCATTCTGAGTATTGGTAATTGACGATGTCTTCTTAGCAGGAGAGGCAAGGAATTCATTCCAGCTGTGAATATTGTTCTGGATATGTATTACTCCCCAGAGGTGCTAAGCTCTGACAATCTCATCCAGGAATATTGTTCATAACAACTGGAAAAGCAAAGGAATGCAAAAATGAAGGTGGAGTTTTAGTTATCGTCTTCAAATCAATCGTAAATTATTTCAACTGACTTATTCTGTAACAAACAGAGTTGAATCCAAATTCTGGTTCAGTTCCTCAAAACACCATCTTCACTTCACCTTCATGTTTATTTCAGCCTTTTGAAGAAAATCAAATGTGTGAAGCTGTGGTGCTACTGATTCCCCAGATTTCAGGTAATCTGGAAGAAGCCTGAGAACCAGTTCCCAACCATTATAAAATAAATGTTTACATAAAGAAACACATCTCACAAGTGCCTTCACAATGACACAATTTACATTCGTAAAAATAACTTTGTCATATTTGCTCAAACTGTCACAATATTCTGACAGTAGTTCATGGGGCAGGTAATCTGTGAAGAAATCTGGTTACTCTGCCTCTTTTTATTTTCATATCATTCAGAGATGAGTGGAAAGGAATGGATGCCTGGAACCGAGGACAAATCACATAATACTTTTACCTATACTTAAACTTCTTCAGCTTTATCCAGAACCAGGGATGTTTAATCTTTACAACGTCTTCTTCTTAATGAGCGTCTGGTTCTCTCTGCAGGTCTGTGCAGAGTCTGTGTGTGTGAAGCACAGTCTGCAGCAGTGCGACTGTCCAGGAGACATGAAGGAGAAATGCCACATGTGCTGCCAGCAGCCCGGTAACTATACAGGCCAATGTGTCCTCTACCACTGAGGAATGTGTTTACACCTTTTGTCCTAACACGTCAGCCTGTGTGAATTTGTACTGAGGTTACTTAATTGTTTTCCAATAGATCATAACTATTACAACAGACATAATCTGACATGATGGTTCGTGGTTCTTGTTGTTGTCCCGGATGATTTGGTGCAAATGAGAGGCAATTTGTTTTTCAAATTCCTTTTCTTTTAGTTTGTTTTTGTTTGCCGAAAAATGTACCGAAGTCAGACATTTTAAAATTATATACACAGTGGCTTAGATATATATGATCTGTATTATAGTACATCTAATGTGTTTCAATGGCAGATAAGCCTGAGACATGTGCCAGCACTACCTCCTCCGTGCTGTCCCGTCACTTCCAGAGGACGGCGTTGCCGTTGGTCGGCGGGGCTCCGTGCTCAGGGAACCGGGGATACTGCGACAAATTCCACATGTGTCGTCTGCTGGATGCAGACGGCCCCATCGCAAGACTGAAAAACTCCTTCCTCAATTTGGATGACTTCGACGACATAGCAGAGTGGATGAAGGTGAAGGTTTCCTATGATTAGTTTAATAACACCTATAAAAGATAACAGCATAATGTTAAATGATGTTGGGTGATGCTGTAAATCAGAATCAGAAACAGTGTATTACCAAGTACGTTACACATACAAGGAATTTGGCTTGGTGATTGGTGCATAACAATAAACACATAAAATAAAAATATAAAAAAATAAAGGTGAAGAACAGCTAATATGGATGTCATCACATGAAGGAAACTAAAAGGAAGCTCTCAACATGGTGACGGCTGAGCCGACGGCTTGCAGCTTACTGTGCTAACAGCGCTAACAGTGCAAACAACGGCAACAGCGCTGACAGAGCTAATAGTGTTTGTAGAAGCTCAGATTACAACACACACAAAGGGAGAGTGACTTTTATTCTCTGCTAGAGCTTAGGCTACTCATCTATGTCTTTACTTAGCAAATAGTTACATTAATGCTCTGAGAGGCTGTTTAGCAATAGTTTCATCATTTAACTTTAAAGGCATCCTGCTGAGTTTTTGACCTAGTGGCGCTGTGGAGTAATGTTTTGGTGAGCAGGTCCTTCTGCAGTTTTAATTGTGCTGTACATTTAAGCTGTCTGCAGCAGGCTGTAACAGCTGCTGGTGATAATTCCCCTAAAAGGCATACACAATGTGAATGTAAACAAGTCTGTTTTTGTTTATAATGAAAGCTCGATGTTGTTTATCAAATCAGCGTTTCAGTTACCAGATTCTTTATTCATTGTATAGGACATAAAGTTGCTCCACGGTCTCAAATGACCTGATCAATGGCTTTCTGACCATCAGGTCGGACAGTATACGCAAAATGATAATTTGCTGTATTCTATGGCTGTGGATGTCGTCTTTGTTAAGACGCAGCAGATGTTTGCTTGATGTGACATCCTCAGCTCAGTGTGTTTGTTAAACTTCCTGCCCTGATTTTCAGCTGTCTTCGATGTTTCAGTCGTAGCTACCTTTGAGGATTAGTTCCTCATGACAGCGTGGAGAATCAGGAATGAATTTGGGTTGAAGACCAGCCATCCATTTCACTGGAGACAGAAATGACCCCTCAATTCAGGAACCGGTGTGTTGTTTTATATCGATGTTTACATATATATTTGATCAATATATAGATTAAAAGCATCAATGACCAACAATAGAATAAAAATAAAATGTTTATGTACAAGTCGTGTGTTCTGTGAGTTGTAATACAGAGAGGATAGGAGTTCAAATGAATCTAAACTACACTGCAATGTTTTGCTGTTGCAGATAACAGCATATTGTATGTGGGTCAACTTTATGAGTTTATAGATTTTACTGTGAAAGCAAAATTACATTTTGAATTAGAGTTACCACGACTTGTCATTTATGAAGTCAATAGACAGATCTGCAACAGCATCATCGTTTAAGTTCAACAAAAAAATATTCTAAATATTCTCTGGTTCGAGCTTCTCAAATGAGATGATTTGAAAACAAGATATGTGAAGACGTTAAGTATTCTGTCTTGGGATGTAATGCTGTGTCAATTTGAATTGTTTGTTGTATATCCTGTAACCCCAAAAAGCTGCTTCAATCTAATTTAGGGGGCTGATGTTTTTAGTCCATGCCAACAGAAATCCAAAACTCACATCCAATATTCGTATGTATCCACTGCAGGTTTATTGGTGGGCCATCCTGCTGGCTATCCTGACGCTGTCTGGAGTGATGGGCGGCACCGTCTGCCTCTGCGGCCACAAGCTGGACACCAGCGACTTGGAGTGACCTCTGACTTTTGGTCATCATTGGGAATATGCAGTATTTTCATTCAAGGCACACAAATTCATTTCAATCAGGAGAGACTTGTTTTATAATTTAACAATGATTTATTATACATGCATCAAATATGAAAAGTGCAAAGTCTTTGGCGATTGGACTCTATCCTGAAGTACTATCAGCGAGGGTAGGGATACTGAGGTGCAATAGGCCTAATCCCCCCTGGAGTCCAGACACTGGTGGTGGTGGTGGTGGTGAAAGGAGCTGCTGCAATATGATGATGAATGAGGAGCATGACTGTGATGCTGACTGGAGGTGACTGGGGTGGAGGAGGGTCGCATCTGCTTAGCTGAAATGACAACTGACAGCAGCAGAGAGGAGAACACTATTTAAAGTTTGACAGCAACGATATGATTGGCTTCAGGAACCGGTGTGCAGAATCTGGTTGGTTACTTGAAAGTGCACGCCCCCAATCAGCTGACAGAGTAATTACAAGGAGAGGAGAGACAGAGATTATGAGTGAGGGTCTTCCTGACTGAACTTGTGCTTGAGCTATATTAGGATTCATTAATCTGGGATTTTTAAGTGTCAAAGTCACATTGAAGAGATTGAACTTTGTTCCACAAACCTGACCTGTGACGACACACCTGCTCAACGCCTCTCACACTCTTTTGGTCACTGATATCTTTGTGCGTCACTATGCATCTGACATTTATTTTCCTCTTGTCACTTGTCTGTTCACAGTTCAACAAGCGGCCTGACTGCTGTCATTTGCATTGCATGTTAAGAAGCTAATAAAGTCAATAAAGTCACCGTCAACATGTCTGTAATCTCAAAGAGTACTTGTTTACTATTTATGATTTACAGTAAAGATACAAAGTATATTATTAAATATATTCACTTAGTTACTGTACTGTAGAAATTTCTACTTCTATTGCTTCAGAGCATCGTTGTAACAGTTCTGAATTTTCAATTAGTATTTATTTTATTTTTGACGTTTCAATTTTATTTTAGTTTTTTTTTCAGAATGCTTTTGCTATTTTTCTTTCATTTACATTTTTCAGAAAAGTTTAGTTGTAGTTTTACAGTAGTTTGTTTTTGTTAGGGCCAGGTATAATGTCTTAGAAGTACAGCTACATTATGTATATAAAAGTGTTAGAGAACTGTATAGGAATGGTTATAATGTTTATGTTTATTATTTGCGCTACTTTAGCGTTCGATGTAAAGCAATTGCGGTATAAGGCCATCTTCTGGAAGGTCAAGTCTGTAAACTCAATTTCTGTGGTTCAAAACTCCTTTTTTCAGTCGCAATATTTTATAGCTAAAAATTAAATCAAAATGAATTTACGTTAATTTCTATTTTATTTTTATTAGTTTTTTGTAACCAGGTAATATTATTTCAGTTTAGCTTAATTTTTTCTTGAAGGATATTGTTTACTAAGTGTCAGTTTACTAACAATATTTTTCACTGGTTATTTGAGTTATTTACAGTTTTTACTGTAATAACCCTGCTTCAGTAAATATTATTCCAGTTTTTATTTGACTGCTATAGATACAAATTACATTATTTTAATGAAAGGTTAACATTTTTCGTGAACATTGTTGACATATTTAAATACTGCAATCTTTTTGAAAAACAGCAAAGGCTAGAGAAATATAAAAAAAACACAAATCTGTGGAGCATATCTTCTTCTTTCTCTTCTTTCCAACCCCAATAATCATCTCACGGCCCCCCACATAGATTAAAGGTTCCCCGACCCCCTTGGTTAGGAACCACTGCAATAAACTGCTGTACATAAAGCAGTTACAACTACTTTCAATACCAAAAGTACATTTAACTGATAATGCTTGTGTGCTTTTCCTATGAATACTTCCTCCACCACTAATGATTCACATGTCATAACTAAAAGGTTTATTTGGGGATGAATCTAAAGCTGTGTGATCGTGTCATCGTGTTAATCTCTTGGGTCACATTGACACAGTCGGCCAATGGCGTCACAACTACAAGGACATTTAACAAATCCTAGCACTTTTGTATCAAAAACCAGACGTGAGAGTTTAAATTGTTAGGATCACAGACAGGTTTTCTACTGATAATGAAGAAGAAAAGGAATAAAACAACCTTGTGCTGGTAAGTTTGAGCGATAACAATGGAACATTTTCATGATTGTAAAGTTTATTATTGTTTTTCACCGTCACAACCTGAAAATAAAAGTCAGGCTCAGGGTGACCACCCAGGTGGCAGTTTTGGTTTATTAAAGAATTTATACAGTACAGTGACTATTTACAAATATGTACAAAATGCATTGATATAAATGCACATTTTACGGATTAAATTCATCCAGACGTAAAAATATATAACTGACAGTGTTCCATACAACAAAATTAAACGTCTGTATTAAGGTATTTACATAACTCTACAAGTAACTAGGTTTCGCAATCTCCCCTGTTGTCAGTGCAAAAAACGTTTCTATATTGCTAAAGTAGGCGGAGATGAAGTCACGATGATCACAGTACCGATCGCAAACGAGCCAAGGTTTAGATTTTGCTCCCAGAAGAAAACTGCAGTCAAGAGAGGCCTGTGATAGACTACATAGAGAAACACTGTTTTCTAACTCACACTGAGCCTCAATAGAACTTTAATAGAACTATGACAGACAAAATGTCAGGAGCATATTTGAGGTAACAGCTTCAAAGTGTCATTTCACAGAGGTGTAGATGTGACAATAAGTGTTTAAAACAACTTTTGAAAGTTCAGATGTTTAAAAAAGTTAATAGAATAACAATAGTAAAGTACACTGAGCAGAAAAACAGCAACAAAGTTAAGACAAGTTCACTTTGCAGCTGCTTACTTCTGGCGGCAGTCTACAGTAAGGCACACTGTTACAGGACCCACAGTCACATACAGTGCAGTGAGCCACAGTGGTGAATGCTCGGTCAGTTAGATAATACATAAATAAACTGTACCCTATTGCAAAAAAACCTTAAGAAAGTCATCTTAACTGCTATTTTGCCTTCTTTTTGAGAAGTGCCTGCAGACCTCCATGAACTCAAAGAAGATGTTATTCTTCACAGTGGCCGCTATATGAAATTTAACTTGAAGTATTTTACACAATGGGACGTCAGTACCTTCAGAACTATTAAGGTAAATCCAGTCAGTCACACCTCTCAGTATGTGAGGCTCTCACTAGTATCCATCTCTTTGAATACAGAACACGCACCAAAGACCACAGCATTTACTTTTTTTGTGTAACAATAAAGTTACAGTTAGTATCATAAAAACAAAATGTTCTTAACATAAATATTTTACAGGATTCATACACATTTTTTTTTAAATAACAAATGTACTTTTACAGGTGTATAAATTAAAAAGTGCAGAAATGGACTTCAACGGTGGATTCTCTTCTCCGAGGTCAGTGTTTCTCCAGAGTTATTCTACAGAAAGAGAAAAGTGTGTTTTTACTTAAAAGCATGAACAGTATTGGAAAACGCTAACTTTTATTTCCTAACTTTTTTTCAACCTGGACCTTATTCTCTCATGTTTTTTTTTTTCTCAGTGACTAATGGGGACAACAATTTTGTTATTGTGTAATGTGACTTGTTGCTGGAAGACAACAGCGCATCGTAGCTTGGTGATATTTCAAAGATTATCACTGTCGTGGCTGAATATTCAGCTGATTTCGAAAATGTGGATGCGACACAAGATTCCAGAACGAGACTTCTCCGAGAGACTGATTTTCATTTTCTGTGCACGTAACGAGAGGGGACACGCCGTCCCTCACAAAGACATGAGAAAATAGGCTCCAGGTTGAAAAATACAGAAGTTACCCTTTAACGGTGATTGGGGAAACTGTATAGGGTAGCTTACCTTTTCGGAGTGTGTTTCGTGTTTGGCCTCCATGCATCCTTACATTTAACAAATGTGACCTCTTGTGTTAATTTCTGAGCTTCATGGTCTTTTACACAGAACACCATCCTGAAAAAGAAAATACAATCCATCTGCATGAGCACTTCATCCACTGAAATAGCTTCATTCATGGCAAGATTTTGTACTACTTCTACTGCTAGAAATTATGTGTTTTTTGTCACATCATGAGTATTATTTTGGTTCTACATCAGTATTTATCCCAATATAGCACTTCTTACTTTTGTTGGGTCTCGCCAGCTCGGATGCGGATCTTGTGAACCTCCATGTTGGCGCTGTCTGAGTCACCGGACCACCAAGAGGAAACCATCTTCAACATGTTGGAGGCTGACCAACCATTTGTCTCCTCCCATTTAAACTTCAACATCAGCAGATCTCCGATATCTTCCTCTGTCACCAGCAGGAATGAATGGGTCTTATTCGTCGCTATCTTCTCCTTTCTGTCACATAAAAACAGAGAGAAATGTTAGTGTTCTACTCGTAGTCAGTAGGGATGTTTTATTTAGCTTAGCCTCATAAATGCTGCACCATAAACCATGATGTAACCCCACATAGCGAGAGTCAATGCTGTCAAGTCTGCGCTTTATATGACGGTTTATAGTTTCTACTTCATGCTTTTTTCTTTTGACTACTGTGCGGCTGTTACAAAACAACTCGTAACCTACAAGATGCAAGTCACAGTGCTGTTATTCTCTTTTATGAAAGTTTTTAAATCACCCACTCACAGTTTAAGCTCCAGGTTTTCAGTCTCTCCTTTTGTTCCGTACAGTGAGACAGTGAGTGACGGCTCCATCTCTGAACGATTCACCTTACTGGAGAAGTGGATCTTCAGCTGAAAGTGGTAAACTGTAGAGCAAGAGAGCATTTGGAACATTTTAAACATGCATGAAGCTGCTCCAACTTAGATTTAGTTGTTTTAGAAAAAACTAAGCTGCAGATGATCAGACTTTTGCTGTCAAACCCACCTGGAACTGAAACACTATTGAGCTCAGAAATCTTTAATTCCTTTGGACGTTTAGAACTGAATTTTAAGGCCACCTAAGAGGGCACTGCTTTACATTTCACATACAGGAAACCCTATAGGGCATTTCATCATGTTTTCTCAAGTGAAAGTGCACCCTGGAGGGCACTTTTGCTGAAAGTTTATTCAAACATGGGACAACACCAATGAAAACAAACACCACTACTGATCAAGTCCACTGACCTCTGAAAGGCATGGAGGCTCGAGTCCTGGTGTACATCTGAACGTTGCGTGCCTTGCGGACCTTGCTGATGTCGTAGCCCACTGCGTTGCAGCGGCTTTTTCGGCAACTGAGACACATGCCGCGGTCAAACATGTCATTGCTGCCGCATCTGTAGGCCTTGGCTGCTTCCCGCTTGTTCAGTAGAGAGTCGATGAACAGGTGGACCGAGCGTTCGTGTTCACACTTCACTGCATCAGTAATAGCTGATGAGGAAATAGGGAACCATATTTAATTACACATACATAATTACGTAAATGTGTTACTTTTGCTTTACCTATCAACCTCCTCAGCCAAAAGGTCTGACATTCTATCTGACCTTTCCTCAGCCATGTTTGGAGCCCTCTGTTTATTTTCAGCCCATTGTATATAGGGTCAGAAACAACGTTAACTCCCAACACAGACTAATGACAGGCAGCTAGTAGCTTGCTTCTGGACAATGAACTCTATGTGTATCTACTAATATTCACAAAAATGTGCCTTATAACCTGTTTGCAGCCGATGCATCACTGTTGGTTATACTGGCTTTAAATACTTAGCAGCCGAGGCGTGGACTCCAGTTACATGACTTGGACTCAAGTCAGACTCGAGTTAAAAATTTGACGGCTTTAGACCCGACTTGACAAAATCAAAACAGACATTCAACTCGACTTGGACGTTAACACCATTGACTAATAAGTCACATGGACTTGATTCTAAAATACTCAAGACTAAAGATCAAAAAGTATGTTATTTACAAAGTGTGCCACAAATCCATGTATTCCCCTACATTACCTGAATCAATGAACGTTCAGGCTATTCATCCCAGCAAGTCAACACTTAATTCCCCAGTTTGTTTTCTTTATGATTAAGTTCAATCGCCCTTGTGTTAACAAACAATTATAAATCTTTAAATTGAATACTGTATGTTATTACTCTGTTTTTAAAATGGCACAGCATTTGGTGAAGAGCCCATTATGACTTGTTTAGGATTGTGACTCAGGACTTGCCTGCCTTAACTTGGGACTTGAGTGCAAAAACTTACTTACTTGCAAAATAATGACTGCTTCGCAGAAATGTTAAATAATGCATGATTATGTGAAGCCAAAATATCAATGAGGCTTTTTGCCTGTATAAAACAACATGTATGGTCATCCTGAGTGAGGCTGGGTGATTAAAAAACAAATATTATGACATTCGAAAAATGTTCTGCTGATATCACAATAACTGACTATTATGGGAAATTAAACAGAAACTTGTCTCACGTATTTCAGAAATCTTACAGGGAGAAGTCTACATCAGTAAGTACGTTTATGTCCACAAAAGTAACCCTAGATCAAAATACAATCATTTAGTTTTAAACTAAGTTCAAGTTCATGCTTTTACATTTTGCAGTTACATTAGAAGTCATTCTCACCGAATAACCCGAAGTTGGCGATCTTCTCCAGGGCCCCCCTGAGGTTGCAGCCTGGCTGGAAGCTGCCTCCGTTGGGGTAAATGTCAATGTGGCCGACAGGCTGCTGGATCCCGATGCTGAGACCCAGGGAGCCCCGCGTGAAGGTGTGGAGGACGTCCACAAAATGAGCGTCGTCAGGGGACAGACGCCTGTGGGCATGCTGTCCCTCAAAGTCAGGACCAGCTGGGTCCAGACCTGCAGACAGAGGCCGATGACAGTGAATTAACCAATCAACTCCCAATGAACTGATGGTTACCAAGTTAAACTGCAAGATGTATTATGAAATACATTGTTTGGGCTTGTTTTTTTTACCAGTTATTCTTCCAACTTTATTGGTTGCGTGGCTTCCAGCAAATCCTGCCACGTGAGCCCCGAGGCTGTAGCCAATCAGGTGGATGTTCTCTAGAGGCATGTTGGTGGTTTCCTAGTACATAAATGAATACTGTGTTTACTAGCTAGCAGACCTGAACAGTACTATTTTGCAATAAGGTATAAGACAGTGTCTACTTAAAAAGTTACTAATGGTCATATTATCTGTAAAAGTGTTTTGGCTTGTTGTAAAGAGTAACAGCTTTAATAACAACTCTCTGATCATTTAAAATACATTTGTTTTCTTGTTGGTGAGTGGAAAAACGAGTGACCATTTGTAATTTTTTTTTACTGTTACAGTTATCAACTCTATCCCACTGACCTCGATCCAGTCAATGAAGCGAGCGATCTCGTGTCCCACTTCTTTGGTGTTCTGAGCTGCGACCACATAGTGGTTCTGTGCCGAGGTGAGCCAGTCCACCACGATGACGTTGGCCGTCTGCTCTCTGTCGTACAGCGCTGAAACCAGCTTCGCCACCCAGCTTTCAAACATCCCACTCAACTGTTGAAAAGACAGTCGGAACATTAAACTTTCAATGCAACAACGCCATAGCTGCTAATAAAACTGGTATTAATTAAATGAAGTTCAGGGAGAATTAGCTTAAAGGTCATATTGTAAAATCAGAGCCACCTCTAGTCCACCTCCTCTTTACAGCATGTTCTTTGGCATTTACATGTTGTTGCTTGTCAAGAAAGTTGGTTCGGTGAATTTAAGACTCAATGGCAGTGGAATTTGGCGATATAATGACACATTCCGAGTCACAGGTGTTTTTGCGAAACCAAAGGAAAGTGAAGTGAACAAAGCCCTTGGGTGTTTTAAAGACCGGGAGGCAGGTCACAACAGGCTGAAGCATCTCCACTCACCGTCCATCCGTGGATTACCAGGAAGGTCTTGGAGGTGCTGTTGAAGGTGCAGGCTGCCAGGGAGTCGGGTTTGCCGGGAACGATGTAACACAGGTCATCATCGGGATGGGATGGTTTGCGGAGGGAGAATTTGGCGACAGTTTGATTGCTGTCATCTTTGTGTTCAAACAAGTCTTTCAGGGGGTCGAGGAAGTTATCTGAAAGAGAGGAAGGACGAGCAATTAGCTGTGTGAACAAATGTATTAGAAGAGAAGAGAATAAAACCCTCTGTCAAGCTGGTGTCAGATGTGTAAAGCAGATCTAAGAGTCTCCGAGATGGCTGACTAGCTAACGGAGAGAATGGCTCTAATAAGACCCGGCCCCTCAGTAAACGAGCCTCCCCCGTAAACAAGATCCATCCTAAGAGGTTACAGGGGATCACTTGGTCAGGCTGAGCTCCATGGTAACAACAGGGGAGTTTTCCCCAGCTTTGTTCCTGCCACCTCACCGACTCTAATCTGTGCAAGTTTCAGTGGTCCCGGCTCAGTCAGCTGACTCAACTCAACCAGGGGTTGTGCCGGTTTTCAGAGTGGGAGGGTGGGGAGGTGAATGCAGGAAGCATACTGACCATTACATTGAGAAAGTATTGCAGCAGTTTAGGGGACATATTGAAAACAAAAATGATGTAAAACTGCATTTGGATAACTGAAATTATGTTGAGACTATTCAGTAGCCTGAATGTTTTCACCACTTTGTTCCTCTCTGAAAGTGAAAAGCACCTTGTCTCTCACAGCCAAAAGTAATAAAGTTGGATATTCGCCAAAAAGCACAAAGACAACCATAGACACGTCATACATAGCCTACAAACAGTTGATTTTATTATCAGTCCAAACTACACACACCCAGCTCATACAAATTAATGCGGTAAATTAGACACAAATACCCTCCATATGCGCTCAAATCCCGCAGTTTTGAATCAAGTTTGAACTGGCAACTCACCAAAAATAGAATCGGTGAGCTCTTCTTCCAGAGACGTCACATACTGCACAGCTGCATTCAACACCAGAAAGTACAGAAACCGAACTCGCCACGCTTTCATCGCTTTTCCAGCTGCTTCCTTCTGGAGATTGAACAATGATTGAACAATGAATTCAATCAATCGGATCTCGCGGCGGAAGAGTTTATGTATTCCTTCTAAGAATAATTCACTACGTCCTGTTGCGCTCACAGCGCTGATATCTGAGCCACCTTGAACTGTCCGCGTCTTAAATAGCACCTCTGACAAGTCATTGGCTGCTCAGCCCCGGGCGGGGAATGGGAAAATATGCGTTTGGTAAATCATTACGAGAAGAATTAACAACGCTGGTTGGCAGGAACGGCTTATTAAAACCAGTAAAGTGTATTAATCATGTCTCTAACTTTATTCAATTTATGTTTCAATCACCAACATGGAATAAATGAGAAGGTAGGCTACTACTGCATGTTGGGCTTACTGCCTAATTGCTTTCTTGTTTGTTTAATTGATTAATTTATTGATTGAATAATTACTCCATTAGCTGCAGGAAAGGGTGAAAATTGTATTCATTCATCAAATGTTATACAAAAAGATAGAATGTGCTGCACAAAAAGATGATGAGACGGTTGCAAGAAATAAGACATTAAAAACAAAACAAAAAGTAACAACAAATGGAGGACATATTTTAAATGGTATATAAAGTATAGTAAACGTTTAGGTTGACACAGATGAGTTTCAAGTTTTCTTGCTTCGACTGTATCAGACAAAGTTCATAATAATAATAATAAACTTGATTTATATACCAATTTTCTTAACCCTAAATGCTTGACCACAAGGAAATAATTAAATAATAATGAAATACAACAAATACGGCTGTAATCACTGATGAACTTTCAGACCTCTGGTTTAATCTGTTGTCAGAATGTACAGTCGGTTTGTGTGTTGCAGGCTGCAGAAGCAGGTCATGAATGTTTCAGGAGAGTGTTGTGCACTGCAGCAGACAGACTAATAAAATAGCCTACTGTATGTCAGTGGTTACCTACATGGCTGTCTCTCCCTGACATTCCAGGATGCAAGCAGCTTGGCTGGACATAAGGGCCCCTTAAGGGCAATTTGGGGCCCCTTTTCACTGATCTGCTGTTGTCATGGCACCAAAGACATTAGAGAGAGAGAGAATACAAAGGAGACACAAACCTGCATCAAGCAGTATTATGTTTAGTGTGCTGAAAGCATGCAAGCATCAGGTTTTAACTCTCTGTTTCAAAAAATGCTGTCATTAACTAACCATCAAGGTTATTGAAAGATTAATTAACCGATTTTGCATTCGTCCTTCAAACTTTGACTCACGATAGACAGTAAATTCCATACATTATTTTTCCTTCACAACATGACAACTACATTAACCACAATGCAACTCGACCACCGGTGTGTTATGCTAGTAATGCTATTGTAGCCTCGAGCCTCTAGCCTCAAGCAGAGATGAGGAGACAACAGAAGCTCACTTCTTTCTGACTCCACAGCCCCAGATTTGTTTCTCATTCAAACTTCCGCCCCAACCGACACCTACTCAAGTGACATCACTTGAGTCAATTCATCACACTTAGTGCAGCTCCTGCTGGAGTCACAAAAGGTTTTATAACACCATACAAATACAATACTCACATACAAGACAGTTAAAGAGACTTTGATGTGTAAAAATCAGTGGAGTTCCCCTTTAATAACTTATTAAGTTGAATTAATGATTATTTCCAAGTTTTACGGGGTTTGAAAGAACATTCTGTTTATTAAGAATACATTCTTGTGGCATGTCAACTATTTGATGCTGAATATCCGAATAGATATCTAATATTTTGTAAATATTATTACTTACAACATATTATTAATGGACTGTATAATCATTAAAGTTACCGTCTTCGGGTTCCAGTACTCAGACTCCACTCCGCCGTGGTGACATGTTGGCAGAGTCGACTTGACCAATCGAAACATATACCTGGTATCAAGCATCAGCAACATTTGAATAGTGTGTGTTACAATTTGCAATCATTACAGCTTTGGCCATCACCTGGCAATCACCTACGTCTGTTATAGAAATTTCATAGTTTCCATTGAACTCTGACCTTTGACCTATTGCATGAAGCAGTTTACTCACTAACTGTAAAAATGTTGTTACATGCCACCTGGGGATTGTGTGCAAACGTTCGGGCAAGAGTACTTGGCTTCATTGCGGCTGATTTGTTGCCTAAAACTCTGGCTCGAGATGCCAAGATAAACTGGGCAGGAGGCCGATGAGGCGAGGGTTGTAAAGTTACAAGCTTGTTGCTTGTGAAGGTCAATTGAACAACAAAGTTCACAGACATGATAGCACTTGTTAACAAACCACTGACAGTGTAGCCAATTTTTAGTTAACAGTGTGATACCAGCATAATAAAACCTAATATTTCTCCCAAATGAATTGTCTTTAATTATTTTGGATGAAAGGACATTGGATATACATGCACACCGTGCTAGTGCTGTGAAAGGTGCAACATTTGAAATTAGAGCATTTCTATTGCTTCCACAAAGCTCCCAACATGGCAATGGCTGAGCCGGCAGCTTGCAGCTAACAGTGCTAACAGTGCTAACAGTACAAATAACGGCAAAAGGGCTGACAGAGCTAACAGTGTTAACCTGAGGGGCAACCATCTGTTTACTTTCATCCAGTCAAGCAGGTGTGCAGCATCTGAAGCCTCTTGTGAATGTACTAAAATAAGCTACATGCAAGGACAAGTCTTAACACAATAATCATTATTTTAACTAACCTGCAGCTATTTGCAAAAAACTTTATTTATTTGAAAAACAAATCATGAAAACTGCAAAATACCGGCGAATTGAGAGCTGCTGTGCTACAAGAGTCATATACACGCAAACTCCCACAGCAGACCAGCTGGCTTCATGAGCTGTTTCTCTTCCATGAACATAACATTTTCCTCGAAAAGCAGTGACTGCATTTGTATTTCTCCTCACCTCTGTTGGGGGAAAGACTCAGTTGTGATGACAAGGAGTTGATGAAGAGCCGAGTGAATCGAATGCCAGACCTCCACAGCAGAGAGTCGCTGGTGCCAGCAGAGTGGGAGAGCGGACACACAGCAACTCCTCCACAAAGTTTACCGGCAATTTGTTATTCCAAGACTTATTTCCTAAGCTGATTTCTAGGTATAGCACATGATCACATGTTGTACAAATACTGATACAAAGTCTGATGATTCTTGTCGGACAAGACAAACACAAACAAAAACTTTTGTGAATCAGTAGAGGGCCATGCCGCAGGTTTGTGCAGGCTACTGAACAGGTTTTAAAAGTCACCTTTGTGGCTTCAACAACACCCGTCCACTAACAACACAAAGTCACGACGGAGTGTTTCCACTGTGTATCTGTTTTGTTTTCGTTGTGAAAGATGTAACCAATTTACTCAACTTTGACACTGTTGTTTTAATGGCAATATGATTTTTACTCCTTTTGGAATTAGTATAATATCTGATAAGCTTTGAATACTTTCAGATACTGAAGTTTTAGACTTTACTCCAGCTCATTCTCAGCCTAGACTCTCAATTGTAGCTGCGAATACAATTTAACTTCTTTCACTTACAGTTTATAACTGTTTCTCAACGCCTTTCCTGCCTTTCAGCAGTCTTGTGGGAATCTCTTTCAGAGGAACTAATCCACAAACCTGAGGAATCAGAGATGCAACTTCTTCTTACTCCTGTTGGTCGGTTCAGTGTTACGTAATATGTTTTGATTTTCTAGCAAAGCTGGCTTAGTGATCACATCCAACTATAATCCTGTGCTATTAAAACATGTTGGATGTGGGCTTCACGTGGCTTCAGATGTTGGCTGATCGACAATGACCTCTGTGTTTGACGAGCACAACCGTTAACTCAGACGTAAGCCATGTGGGAGAGGTAGCTCGGCTCTACAGTTCCAATCTTATTTAAAACACACTGTGGCACTGCAGAGCAATGTTCTGTTGAGCGGCTTCCCTTTATTGTCGGTTTAAAAGTACACAGCCCTTTGGTCAACTGTGCTTGTTTTTAAATGTGCTGTACAAATAGAGTTTGACTTAACTTGAGTACACAGTGTGTACAGAGGCAGCGTAGAGCGGCACATCAGCAGACGTGTCTAACTGCTGTTGAAGTTACTATGCAGTGTGTGAAAAGGATGCAATCAGGCACAATACAAAATGTAGGGCACTGATGTTTGGTCTCAGAGTGCAATACACAGCTGTTGTAGTTATAGTTCAGAACGCAGCAGCTCGGCTTCTCACTGGTTTTAACAGACGACATCACATCACCCCAGTCCTGGCTTCTCTTCACTGGCTCCCTGTTCGTTTTAGAATTGATTTTTTAAAGATTTTACTGATTATTTTGAAGCACGTATGGGTCTGCCCCCAAAATAGAGGAAATGTCGACCCCCTATATAAGCCAGCTCGCAGCCTTCTGTTCCAAAGTCGAGGCTGAAAACTAAAGGTGACCGCGCTTTTGCCATCAGGGCCCCTCGACTTTGGAACAAACTGCCTGAGGAGATAAGACTCGCTGAATCAGTAATCTCTTTTAAATCACTTCTTAAAACACATTTTTACAGACTGGCATTTATGTGATGTTGTTGCTTTACTGCTTCATTTTTATTTGTTGATTTTGCTAAATTATTTTACTAAATTATTTTGTTTTATTTTATTTATTTCTTAGTATATTTTTATCGCATCAACAGTTTTTTTCCTATTCATTTATTGTACTGTGTTATCTGGGTTTAACTCTTACTTTAGCAGCTGTGCTTTGTTGGGCCTCACTGTTGAGCTTTCTGTTGTTATTATTACCTTGCTTTTGCTGCTTTGTCTGTCAAAGCACTTTGTAAACTCTGTTTTTAAAGGTGCTATATAAATAAAGTTATTATTATTATTATTATACGCTTTAGGTCGCAAAACACACTTGGTCAACAGCTGTATTGATTTAAATATACCGGATGTGTTTCATCAGACACGGACAACTGAAAAACGGGGCCCCGTTTGGAGAGCCACATGTAATTTTCCAACCACAGTTAGTGACAGCTGTTAAAAAAACATAGTGTTACAATGCTATGGTAGAATAATCTCAAAGTATAGTTGAGGTAATTCGTTTTTGGATTCGATATCTCAAAATCTGCCACCAACACCAAATCATTACCAAAGTCATTGAGATTCCTCCCTTCAGGACGAGGGATGTGTGTAGCAAATTAAAAAGCAGTCCATCCAATAGTCCGAAAATATTTCACACTGGAACCAACTGACATTGTCAGCCCTAACATCATGACGGTGGTTTTAATTTAGATTACAAAGAAAGAGGAGCATGACATGTGACCAAAGCATTTTAAAATAACAGTCTTTAGAAATGTAGAAACTTTGGATGTGAATGAAAATGTGTCTGATCACAATAAAAAGCTCCACAGGGTACTTTTTAAACTACTAGTACTTGTGCTATTCAGTGTGTTTTGTTTGAAATACTGCATATACAAGACTCTTCAGTTGTTTAAAAGTTTATAAAACTCTCTTTACAGGTGCTAGAATCACGTCTGATGCAAATAAGCTCAAACTCATAGCTAACAAACGATACATTTTTTGATCACCAAAACTGATATCATATGGAGTATAGTTTAATATTTAGCACATTTTAAGTCAGCTTGTCAGCCTGAATCAAGGAGCTGTTACCCTCAAGATGCTTAGGTGAATCCCTCAGAGTGATCAGACTTCATCACTGATATTTAAATATATATATTTCACCTGCTTCTAAAACCGATGAGCTATGATGATGACGATGATGCTACCAGGCAGATGTGCTTTTATCTGATTGAACATCAGATTGGAGAGTGACAATTCATTCCTACAATCTTTTGATGCTTTAATCATCTTATCATTATCTAAAAGCAACTAAAGCAGTCAGGAGTATTGGAATATGTGGTTTATCTCTTTATTAAACCATCCTGGGCTCTTTATTTATACAGTGCACTGCATCTCAGTTCATGAAAGTAAATTCACTGAACAGCTGGCATGGAGAACAATTTAATTGATCTTTCCAAAGCCCCCTGCATAAAATGACAAAACGCTTCATTTATAAAAAAAAAAAAAATACAGATGACAATGAAAGCCTCCCAAAATATATTACAGCTTAATATACAAATATACATTCAGTAAATACAATATGAAGTATTCTTGAGATGTATTATGGCTAACATGTAGGCCAGTCCATCACAAATTATCAGGGCTTGCATGTTTATTTTCAGCAATTTTGTAAAGTACAGTTTGACATTTTGAAAATAAGGGCACGTTGTAGACAGAGTTAAGTCAATGATGTCAACTATTGCAGGGGAGACACTGTTGGCCCATTCATGAAGTAATTAAAGAGCACCGAGCCATTATTGGATTTAAAAGTGACCTCAGTTCAATTTCAGGACAAAAAAATACCCAAATTAAAAGATGCATTTCCCTGTTGGACCGCAATCTCAATGACATTTGACATCTAAATGGCTGCAGGGGACAGAGAGCATTTTAAAGTGACCAGTGACACAATAACCAAAACACAATCAAAGAACAAGCAAGGCTTCAAAAGATCAGATATTAACACATTACTCATATTTATATATATAATACTGATCAAAAAAGGTATTTAGACCACTGTGATTCTCCATTCAGTAGATAGTAAATACTTCTTTGGTCCCTGTCGATTGTTTGCAATTAGTGGTTCGGTAAAGAAAAACATTAGAGACAAAATTATCATTTTGCACATTTAAGAAATAAAAAACAAACAAAAAGATGTGCCTAAATTATGCCTATCACTCTGAATCATTTATATATAAACAATAATCCAAGTTCACAAAGGCAAAGAAAAAAAACACTTCAGGGGTTAAAAGTACATCAAAATCAGTATTAACAGTATATATGGGCTATAGAAGCATAAACAAATGATTACAAAGATGTGCAGAAATGCTACAGAAAGTGTACATTTGTCATATGTGAGCACATCATCACGAAGAAAGCTGTAACATGTGTCAGCAGCAGAATATGCGGAGAGACAGGAGAGAGTTTGTGAGCAGACTGATTTCCAGCACTGTAGATGAGGTTGTGTTGGTTGTAAGTTAAGAGGCACAACAGGAGGAAAATTTAGAAGAAGAAAAAAAAAAAAGGCAGCATTCAGTATATGTCCAGTTGCTTGCTATGGCTTTCCCAGTGTTGCAGTGTGCGGCCCATCTTTGGCTATGTGTGTAGAGATGGATGCTGTGCATGATGTGTGTTCAAGTGCAACTTTCAAGCGCCGTTCTGCTCAAAAAGACTGCCCTCCATTTTCAGCTTGTGCATCCTGCAGAGAAGAAAAGACAACAGTGAACAGGAGAGCTTCTGCTTCTGATAAAACTGGGTTTTGAAATATGTCAATTGATAATTGATAATAAATAACAATACATATACAGGAAGCTTCTCCTCAACTTACAATTTTTCGTTACGGCTCATGTTGTCTTCTTTCAACTTGACAAAGACTCCATCTTCTCCTCCCCTGACGAGGTACGCAAACTCTCCTTCCTTCGAGCTGAAGATCACCCTGAGATCACATGGAGAAAGAAAAAACACTTTAAAGTAACAACAAATTTAAAAAAAAAAAGAAATTCCAGTCTGAAGTGTCAATGGATCTATTCTAGTTTATTCTAGATATATTTGTGATGGAGACCAAGAACTCACTTGGACTGGGTCTCCCCGGACTTGATGCGCAGTTTTCGGATGTGGAACTTGCTGCTACCCCACCAGTTTGACCAGCTGATGATTGTGTCCTTCTCCCAGCGCAGCTTCACGATCATCAGGTCTCCAATATCCACATCGGTGGTGATGAGGAACGACAAAGTGGTGTTACCGGTCAGGATCGGCCTAAGGGGTGACAAGAAGAGCAAAGTTCAAAGGTCAGCAGCTCAGTTTGGACTATCTATGTTGACGCAGTGCAGGAGTCCGTGGTAGGTGAGTGTGTGTATGTGTATGTGTTTGTTATATAGCAATGGTGCCAATATGGTCTGTATTTATGGTCAGGAAACACTGTTGTTGACCATGTGTCAACTTTCTCTTGTAATTTCCACATGCATGTTTTGTTTTTCACATGACAGTATGTTAAAAAAAATGGTGCTGTTTAATGTACGTACAGGACGAAGGAAATGTCCTCCTTCTCTCCGTGGGTTCCATACAGAGAAATCTTCATTGGCTGCTCGGTGAAGCTCTGCTGGTCCTCACTGAAGAGATGCACCTTGACTTGATAGTGGAAAACTACGACAGAAGAAACAGAGTTTACACTTTAGACACGCTCTCACGCAGATTGACGGGTTCTCAGCAACTGGCCCACGTCTCTCATAAACCACTACTTAAAGTTAGTTTAATACTTTTAACGCCCTTATGCAACCGTTCTCTGTCTTCATGTGACTGCCACAGTGCTGCATTTAAACACAGATTTGTGCTGAATCCGGCTTGGTTACATTCACACACCCTCATATATATATATATATATATATAT